ACTTAAAAGTCAATTAATGAAATGTGGAGTGATTCTCTGAGCCTCAAGAGTTATTCTTGATACTAWAGTAGATATAAAATTGTTAGTCAGTATACTTAAAATTCTTGAAGCCTTGTACTTTTTGGTTATCAAGTCGACTATTAAATTCTACAAAGATTGTCAGCTACCACCTGATCTATTCAGGTACTTTGTCATTGCCTCAAATGGCTGCTAAACCACATTTAACTTGTTCCCCCACAAATGCTATACATTGAGGATTGAGTTTGAGGTTATGACAATATAAATTAAAAGCTGCGAACTCTCAAGCTTCCTGCTGAAAAATGCAATTTCTTCCAACTTATTCTGCTGCTTGACCATAAAATCTGTGCTCAAACCAATCTAAATAATTTAATTGCCACCAACAGCGACAAAGGACATCATTACTYGCTCCCTCACAATAGAGGTATACCTGAAAGCTTCAACTATCTCCTGAAGTGCGATAATAACACAAGCAACGGACAGAAGCACTGTCAGCTAGCCGTACGACACCGCACAACCGCAAAAAGTCACAGTGGCAGCAATAAAATTTCGTAAAGTCACAAGAGCACAGCAGACGGCGTGCAATTGCGGGGGGAAGCGCTGGAAATGGTGTCACTTTTACAACAAAATGCWGACAATTAAATGCTTTGCGCTCCTTTTTATGCGCTTGCTGTTACATAAGTACTTATTTACTAGCATTTACCTTCCATCGTTTTGTTGATAACAATTTTATTGCCGTCATCTCGTCTCCATCTAATTGATGGCTCCGGGCTACCTTTCGCCTTGCAGCGCAGCGTCACATTGTCACCTTCGCGCACAATGACGTCACTGGAGGTGAGTGCATCGTCGATGTTCGGCGGTACTGTAGGAGAGAAAAAAATAAGAAGAAGAAGAAATTGTGAGACCGTTAGTCAAATAGCTGTAAAGAAGAGGGGAAGAGACGGATATGCGAGCGATAARCATATTAAATAACTAAGTGGCACGCCCCTCTTTCAGCGACAAAAGTGCGTTCCCATTAAAAGGGGAAAAAGTAGATATTTCATATTTCATGTTATTATTTTCGGAGAGTTCAAAATGAGCAAAGTTGCAATGAATAAAAATTATGCAAATGTCCAAAGAAGGAAAGAAAGATGCTTCATAACAGTCGTAAAKGTAAGCAGCGCAGATACGAAACTTTTAGGAGGAAAATATGTTTCTGCTTAAGGATTAAAATAAAAAAGTGYAGAAATCACGCCTTCTCCACTTTGTAGCACGATGTAAGGGAAAAAATTAAAAAGAAAAAATACTCCAAATTTTCCGACTCAAGTAAGGCGTCCGTCCCTAAAAATATGTATGTACCTCTTTTTTTATTTTATTAAAATTGTCTGAGCTGGAGGAAGTCTTTGGCAGCGGATGTTGTGGTAAGCGAATTAAAATATGGAAAACAAGGTAGCGAAAGCCACAATGCRAGAGTAGGAAATTAATGCAATTGAAATGAAAAAGAAAGAAATGCAAAAAGGAAGTTTTTCAGATTAAAATGTATGCGGTGGAAATGTTGAAAATAAAAGGGATTGAAATCGCGAAAAGGCTAGCGCGGACTTGCCGCAAAAAGTTGCGAATYGCCATTGAAACAACCATTGTTACAGTTGTGGACAATAAAATGGACACACTTTAGAAAGCTTTTAAATATATAAAAAGAATAAMGAAGACTAATTTTTGCTGCAACGATGCTATAGTATCTATAATAGGTACATTTCTTGTAGTATAAAARTAGCTTCGACTTGCTTTTGATGGGTCGGTTTTTATGGAAGCTCCATGATATGTTTCTCCGATCAAAGAAATAGTTATAACCGAGGATTCAAACGTTACTTTGGTTGCGAATCAGTGAAAAATTTCCTSACGACAACTTCTCAAGTATGGCCGCTATATGCTATARYAGTTCCATCTGAACAACTTCTTCGAAAATCATAGCGMCGTCTCGAATAATAATATGTGACAAATTTTGTGAAGCTATCATGTCAATGAAAAAAGTTTTCCGTACAGGGACTTGAGCTTGATCGGTCCATTCGTATGACAGCTATATGATATAGAAGTCCGATCTGAACATTTTCTATGGAGATTATATCAATGCTTCGCATAAGAAACTGTACCAAATTTTGTGAAAAAAAAAATTTTTAATAAAAAAGTTTTTTATTCAAGAACTTGATTTGTAAGCGTCAGTTTGTATGACAGCTATTTGCTGTCGTTGTCTGATCTAAATCATGAAATAAAAAAGTTTTTCATGTCAGAACTTGTGCTTAAATGGTCAATTTGTATGACAGCTTTTTGCTATAGTTGTTCGATATCGATGATTTCAACAAATGAGCAGCTTCTTGGAGAGAAAAATACGTGTAAAAAATTCTAGAGCGATAGCTCATAAACCGAGATGCTAGTTCATGTATAAACAAATTAGCGCACACAGCTACTTAAATGGGTTCAACTAGACACACTGCTCGTGAGGCTCATAATTAGMGAGTGAAATTTTTGTTACTTTAACGTTATGCTTTTTGACTTTTTTGGGTATAACTTGAGTTCTTAGTATCTAGGAATCGTTTTCCATTCTAAGGCCCAGCTTAACCCAAAGGAGATTATATGCAGCCTTAATTCCTCCTAGGAAGTCGTTTAAAAAACATACCTCAGAAATGCTTCCCATTTGCGAAAAAAAACTATTTTGCTACTGTTTAAAAAAATTAACAGTCATATATTTGAGTTATCCCTATTGCACGGCCCTCAGCTGTACACATTTTGTAATCTCTTTTCTTCGCATTGCAAGCATTTTCCGTTTTTTAMTCGCAGCGTTATGACGTTCTTACCAAAATTTCTTTGGAGTTGAGTGCTGACCTTTTCTTATAAACTTACATTTATATTCACACACACACCCACACATACATACCTATTCTCTGTATTCAGTCTGACTGCAGCAGCGACTCAACAACAATTGAAAGCATTATGAGTATTTCCTTTGTAGACATAATTTTCATAGCTGGAAGCATTCTTGCATTTTTCTAAGTTTCCGTTTTGCGCTTTTCGGCGTCTTTTGGCAGTCAAAACAAAAAACAAAAAAAAAAAAAAAAAAAACCTATGAAAATTATCCAGCAAAGGTGCTGCTTCCAAAAATGGACAAATATTCTCAGAGTACCATAAATATTCTTATGTGAATGGGTCCATTTGATGTTTTACAACGTCTTTATTACTTTAAGAGACGAGTGCCGCAAGGTACTTGTTGGTGGGTCTTTTGCGAGTGATGTTTCAGTTTTTGTTATGACAATTACGTTAAAATTTAATTGTTATACATTCTGACCCTTCTGAAAAGAAGCTCTTCGTTGAAAAATTTTTCAAAAATGCAATATATGTGAATATTATTTGCAGTTTCGCACTTGTGAATTTTCCAATATTCGCCTCTTTCCAGCCTAATTTGCAATTTGGCCTTAAAATTTAATTAATTCCAATTGTTAGAGGAAAATCGAAAATACGCAATTTATTGCTTCGATTAGAGTGCAAATTTTTATCAGTTTCAATAAATCGAGCTCACCGGTCGTCTACGATCATATAGCAGCCATAACTACATACTTTCATACAGGCCCTGTAAGAAATTGTATAGTACACAGTAGCTAACGAGTTTGCACTTGGTTGAGTGTGATTAATAATGTGAATTGATAAAATGTAACTATTAACATGGAATACTCGAACTACTAACTAAAATGTTGCCTACATTCGGTTGCTTATAAGCGAAGTCGCAACCAAAGTATTTGCAAAAACAGTTACTCAGAGTCTCCTATGCACTCAGTACACATTGGATAGTACGGACTAATGTCGTGGTTGAATCGGAACTGATAGCTACTAAAGCACCATGTACACTCAGTATTTGGGATAGATGGAAGTCTACGTCCCGATGTTGTCTATCTATTCACGTTTGGATGTCCGAGTTTAGTCTGTGGGTCCACCATCCTTTGGTTGAGGTTTGCTACCATTTGCTTTGGTTCTATCGTCCTCTATTTCGCTTATAGATGGCTTACAGTTGGTTCAGTCAAGTGAATTCCTCTTCCTGGATGTCAATAGCCGAGATAGATTATCAGCAGCGTTGCTTGATACAGTTTGGAAAG